GTGTGTGTGTGTGTGTGTGTGTGTGTGTGTGTGTGTGTGTGTGTGTTTGTGTGTATGTCTATATTCCTGTGTGAGTGTGAGGTTGAGGCGGAAAATAATTACTTTGTGAGTTTTTAATGGAAGACATACCTTTTCATCAGTATCCACCCACCTCTCCCACCCCACCTTTCGTTCAGCTGTGAATTTCCTGGTACTCATATTGGCGGCAAATGCAGTCGTTGCCAAGGTAATGAAGCGATACCAAGGTCAGATCATGAAGGTCAAGGACGAACGTCTGAAGCTGATGGGTGAACTTCTGAACGGAATTAAGGTCGGTTTTCTTGCTTGAGGTACATGACACAAGAACGGTCACTCAGTTCGGAGAAAAACAATTCAGACAATCAGATAGGAAACAACAACAACAACAACAACAACAACAACAACAACAACAACAACAACAACAACAACAACAACAACATATTCAAAGAAAAAAAGTAGGACCTAAGGTCAACCTTATTTGTCAGTGTTTTATATAGCTCGCAACTGCATAAGGTCATAATTATGAGCTCGCAGGACACATTAAGGAATTAAGCATTAATTCTGTAGGTAGGACTTAGTTTTGGATTTTGCCGGGGTGGCAGCCAGAGCCTACTCTTATCGAGTTTGGACCACCAAGAGATCTTTAACGTGCGCAACTTGCCCATGGGACCTCAGAGATTGTTTTGTCCTTGTCTGAGAAGGCTATATGTCAATGTGTTAGATCTTAGATCAGGGTTGTGGCTGAAAGACAGCAGTAAGAGGAGCCAGGGAGTAGCAGAAGAAGGTAGCAGAAAGAGTTTGGAGCCCAGAGGAGGGGCACAAAGAGGGGTGGGGAGGGGGGGGGAAAGAGGAGACGAAAGCAGACGACAGAACATGATAAGAGAGCAGGAAAGGAGTTGAAAGGAGAACATGTTTTAGAGAAGAAGATTTTCCGTCGCAGTCAGGATGCAAACCGTACCTTTAGACCACGAGAGCCACCGGTCAGCCTTTTTCAGGAACAATGCATCGAGTCTTTGACTGAGCAACCGCATTATGCTTGCTCTCAACGGCATGGGGTAACTAAACCCTCTCTGGGTTAACCCTTTGAAGAAAACCTCCTGATCATTCGACAACACTTGAAGACATACTGCTTTGAGGCACTTAAAAAAAGGAAGCTTAAGATAAGTGTTCGTTAAAATTAAAAAAAGTTTTCTTTATCTGAAACTTCAAAGGGCAGGCACCAATTATGCACATTGACATTCGTGTTTATGATTGAGTCTGTGGTACTGATTGGGACGTCATCTCTTATGACTTCAAAATTGCAAGTGATGGATACTGGTGGCACCATGCTGCAATATTGCCTTTAGTTTGGCTCTGATCGGCCATTGTGCATCTGCAGAGTCTGAAAAAGAAATTAAATAGTAAGAGTTTCACAGCACTTGCAACAAAATAGCTGGGCCCCCTTTAATGATAATAATAATAATAATAATAATAATAATAATAATAATAATAATAATAATAATAATAATAATAATAATAATAAATAGTATTAGTATAGAACATATCCCTGCTCAACAGCAGGCTCTATGCGCTTTACACTATATTATTACCCAAGCAGACCATAGAACACTCCGAAACATTCTCAGCTTCTCGGGAAGCATACAATGCAAGCAGCTGATTAAGCGCTCAAACACTAACAAACTGACAAGATCTTTCGTTGTCTATAGCCGGGTACCCGTTCCCACCTGGGTGAAGTGAGGAAAATTTGTGTTAAGTGCCTTTCCCAATGACACAACGTCGGGCCCTTGACGGGATTCGAACCCACGACCTTACGGTTGCAAGTCCGATGAAAGGAATGATCCTTGCATTAACATCAACTGAAAGTCATTGGCCTACTATATTTTTACACTCTACTAGAAAGCAGCAATAAATCGTGAGAGATGAAAAAAATCAGAAGGTCTAGATCTAGATCGATATTCTCACAACAATATGTTTTACTTTTACTTTTACCCGCTACTTATACCCTTTTGTCGCGGGAAGAAACAGACGTCTCCCTGCCACCAGCGGAGAACTTGGGCCATTTCGTGGTTGTATGGGTTGTACACTCCAGAATTTTAAAGCTGTCGAATCAGGCGCACGGCTAGTGAACGGAAACCACACTTGTTTACAATGGCGTTTTAGAAGTCGGACTTTCCCAAGAATAAGATCTAAACGAAACTAATGAAAAACTGAAAATAAAACTACAGTGACTTTAGGCTCCTCAATAAAACTGTGCACCTTTTAAATGATTCCGGACCAACATTAATTTGGAAGTTAAGTAGTTCGGAAGTTTTAGGTGGCCAAGGTGAATGACTTTTACAAATATAACATGTAGATCTAGATCTAGATCTAGATTTAGATCTAGATCTAGAGATAAACGCGAAGGGTTACAGAGGTTCTATGAGACAGTAACATACAAATCAAAGGAGGAGAGATAAGAACGATAGTGTTTGACAGGAAAAAAAGAGAACGTCTTTAAAGACAATGTAATAGTTTTATGCTATGGAATCATGTCACATTTGTGTTTTCTTTTTATTCCCTTTTCTATTGTGCGTTTTAAGGCAATCAAGCTGTACGCATGGGAACCAATGTTCATCCAAGAGGTGGAGGAGGTGAGGGAGAGGGAGCTGGCCATACTTTTCAAATACGCGCTTCTAGAAGCTGTGCAGATCTTCTTTTGGAGCGGTACTATATTTTGGGTAAGGTTCACACAGGCTCTTCCACCCTCAAGCTCATTCATACGATCACATACAAACACACAAGCACACACTTACTCACAATCAAGCAAATTCTTGCTGACAAACATGTAAACAGGCATGCAAACTCAAACACATACCCATAAAATATACAGAAACGCACACACATACACACACACACAAACACAAACAGAAACACACATACACACGCACGCGCGCATGCGCAGGTGCACACAGGCATGGAAAATGAACACACAATGCTGTTTTTTTCCAAAGAATTCCAAGTCATAGCTGGTTTAACTAGGAACCACCCCCCCCCCCCTTTCGTTTTGATCTTGACGTCACAATCACCACCCCCACCCCACCCCCCGAAAAAAAACCAACACAAAAAAAGTCGCCATGCTCTTCCCCTCTTCTCCATAGATACTTCTAGCAAAATAGACGTTTTACGCCTCCTTCGACACTGTTCAGATAACTTACAAGGCAGGCTGACCTCGTTACTTCGCTCTTTTCATACACATTCACACAATCTTTCCATCACTCAAGTGACGTAATACACTACTCTCTCCTCTGTTTCTGTGTTTACTTTTCTCGGTCCCCCTCATAGACATGAACTGTAATAATCTAGACTGTTATGGCCGCCACACTTTGCTGTCTGAAAAAAATTCGATACGAAGCATGCGGAATATGGGCAAAACGCAGCTCTCACTGTTGTCGAGCGCAAGTTGTTGACCCCTCCCCTCTCAATAGCGTCTTACTTTCATTTTGCTCTTCATTTTTGTCGACATTCCCGTACCACCCCATTCCCTTGTCTTCTTCCCTTTTTCCCCCTCTGCTCTGTCGCCGCTCCTGATATCACTTGTTTCTACAAACAACCCACCACCCTCCCCTGCCACCCCTCTTGTCATTCCTCTCTGTCCACGCCCTTCTCTATTTTGTCATTATGGAGTTTCCCATTAATCTTTCCTCTACTCTCACCTCCCCTTTCCCCGTTGTCCCAACTCCTCTCCCTCACCCAAGATCACATACTTCACGATGGTGGGCGTGGTGTTGGCGCAAGATAGCCACTACCTAGACGCCAGCACAGCCTTCGTGTCCATGAACTACATCTCTGTGCTGAGACTCGCCATCAATAACATGCCCAAACTCCTCAAGGACATGGTCACGGTGAGATGGCTCATTTATGGCCTGTAGTCGGGTCTGGGTGGATTTAGTTATCATTTCACGATTCTGAATCCTTAAAGATTTTCGTAACCCTGATGTACGCAATTAGACTTAAGTCAAAATGCCAGGCCCTCGAGAATTGAGAAATGGAGCAGGCCTGAGTGTAAAAACGAATTCCTGCGTTTTATATATCCCAGTGTATATTCACTGTAGAGTACTTTTTTGTTTGAATTAAGAAGTTTTGGTTACGTTGTTGACGTGAACACTCTCGCCACACAATGAAAGCGACAGTGACGACCTTTGTGTTTGCAAAATAATACCCTGTCCCTCACACTCTCGAACTATCTTTTATTTTCCCATCAGCCACTGGAACTTGGTGGATTTAGTCAAGGAAAACTAATTACCTATCTTTGGTAATATAACAAAGATATCTAAATGTGCGTAGATAAGATCAGTATGTAAAAAGTAGATAAGATGCTTTCGTACTTTGTGTAGATTGTCTTCTATCAACAATAGGTGTTTATAAATATGTCACAAAAAGCAGTCAGTTGGAATTAAGCTCCATGAGTGACTAGGCAGAGCGTATGCAAATGATCAAAACTCATATAAATGAACACATCTGTTTTTGTTTTTTTAAATATTGCATTTTATCCATAGATACTCAAGTTTCTGTAACTTTCAAATTCCCTTTGGGGTCACAGCAGTGGCAGTGCCACAGCCAGTGAAGTTTTCACTGAGTTGTCGGTTCTACGTATTGTTGGAAATGAGGGGAGAAGGGATGAACGGTCGGGGTCATGGGGGCTTTGG